TCAACAAACGTAAAAAGAGGCACACGAAGTTATTAGTTGCAAAATTCTAATGACACAAACTCTCCATACGCCCTCTCTTAATAATTTGTTATTGTAGTCTCTGGACTTGATCGTCCCCAGACATTCGAGGGATCTGTAGGCCTCTACATCTCAATAAAGAGAATAGGAGATTCTTTCGACATAGTCACAATAGGCATACTGTACACTGTACAGCGACTGTGCAGTAGTTGATAGTAGATGTCTAGTGTACAGTGTGTAGTCCTAACAGCTTTGATGTCAGATGCACTTACAACGCACTGGGTGACCTTGATACCTGACTTTCGATTGAAAATAGACAATTGAAAAAAAGTTTGCTCAAGTTTTAGAATATGGCATCAAATCAGGTTCTACGTGAGCCACTTTGCTTATTCTGATATGCCGATTTCGAAAATGAAATCAGTTTTTAGCTGCGATAATTATTTTGAAAATTCTGCGCGCAAAGTTTAATCCCGCGCGGCGGCAAACATCAAAGGAATTTTGCGCCACAGCCTCCCACGTGTCACTTCACACTGAAAGGGGGGGGGGGGGAGGGGGGGTCTATTATGAGATCAGTTAAAAGTGACTGTTGTCTGTCCTCTTTATGATAGGAAAATACTACAAGATGCAATCTTGGTAAAATCTATATAATACTTCTTTTTGTGATCTTCTAAATCTAGCAAGAAAAACGGTCAACCGCGAGTTACTTTGTTAATTTGGACACGCTGGTTCCGAATTTGATATTATTTTTACGATTAGACATAGTTTTAAAGGTTTTATTTAAAAATCTTTTTGTCGGGCCGCGGGTGTATCGATACCATCATCAATACCATCACGACGAGGTATTCGCTTAGGGCATTCGCTGTTCCCCGGAAAAAATTTTTCCTGTTTTTAAAAATAGAGTCGCTGTTAACCAGTGCTCCGGAACAAAACAAGACAGGACATTAGGCCAAGTAAATACATGTCTCACGTGCTGGGACAACCCGCTCCGTAAAACATTCTCTCTCTCTCTCTCTTTCTCTTTCTCTCTCTCTCTCTCTCTCTCTCTCTCTCTCTCTCTCTCTTTCTCTTTCACTCTCTCTCTCTCTCTCTCTTTCTCTTTCACTCTCTCTCTCTCTCTCTCTCTCTCTCTCTTTCTCTTTCACTCTCTCTCTCTCTCTCTTTCACTCTCTCTCTCTCTCTCTCTCTCTCTCTCTCTCTCTCTCTCTCTCTCTCTCTCTCTCTCTCTCTCTCTCTCTCTCTGTTTCATTCGTAGCACGGTGTGTTCAATAACCTCACTGCAGTTGGTACGAATGAATTTCTATATCTTGTCTGTTCTTGCTTTTTGGGGAAATGTATCGTTTACTGCTGGTCGATAGTTGAAATTCCGATGTCAGTGGGTGGCTATGTTCACTAAGCATTATTTCCGCCTTTTTTAGAACGTTTTTCTTGTGCAGATATGTAAAGTTACTTGGGTCTCTACCAATTGTTCTTGATGCCTTTCTTATCAACTTGTTTATTTGTATAATGTGCTGCCTTCCCAAATTGCTACCATAACAAGTGATACCAAAATTTATCAAAGTTTCTATTGTGGTGGCGTAGAATATCTGAAGGATGGATTGATTCAGATTGAAAGACCTAAGTTTCCTCAGAAAGTACAGCCTCTGATTTACCTTTTTAACGATAATGTTTACGTGGTTTTGCCATGTAAATTTGTCGTCGATTGTAAGACCAAGATATTTGTATGAATACGTGATTTCAATTAAGTCTTGTTCCATTACGAGTGGTGGGATTGTTGGTTTTTCTCTTCTAAAATCAAAAATCATTTCCTCTGTTTTTCACAGGTTCACTTTTAAAAGATGTGAATTGCACCATTTAAAAAACATACATATTTCTTCGAAATACTCTTTTTCATCGAGGTTTATTAATCCAATAATAGCGGAGTCATCTGCAAACTTAATTCAGCGTGTTGTTTTATATATACTTCTATGATCATTGGTATATATTGTATACAAAACTGGTGACAAACAACACTCCTGAGGACCGCCAGTGTTACAAAGAAATGTGTCAGATTTTGTGTTGTTTAGCTTCACATATTGTGGTCTGCCTGTCAAAATTTCCAGGACCCATGCTGCGATATGATAACTAACTCTCAGACTTAACTCTCAGACTCAGAAGTTTTTCAATGACAATATGCGATTGAATTGTATTAAATGCAGAGGAAAAATCAACAAAAAGTACCTTCGTATACCTTTTAGATGTTTCAAGGTGTTTCAGTATAGAGTCACAAAAAACAAGTACAGCATCTTCAACGTTCCTCTCTTGTTTGTATGCAAACTGGAATGGATCTAGATTTCCATGAACACAACCCAAAATATTCGGGAGGATCAATTCTTCAAGGCGACTTGTCTTAAGTCATTTCATTCATATATTTTAGGCTTTTTTGGTTTTGGTATTACCTCCGATGTTTTCCATATTGTAAGAATGTAGTTTTTGCGCAGGGTCAGGTTAAAAATGAAGGTAAAATATCGGCGCCAGTTCCTAACATCAAGTTCTTAACACTCTCCTTTTCACTCCGTCTGGACCACAGGCTTTGAAATTTCTTTTTAACACTCCGCTCACTGAGCTCAACACACTCCTCCCTGCTCTACTCGTCTCTTTGATAATAACAAAGAAAAAAATGTACTGTCAGTGGTCAGCAAAGATGTTGTAATAGTAATAGAGGTCGCAGCTGTGACGTCACTCACGTAAACTCAATATGGCTGTGCTGGCCCACAAAAGACAATATTATAACCTCTTTGGGGCCCACTCAGTTCGCTTTGACGCCATTTTTTGGAGGATTAGAAACAGCGATGTCGTGCTGCGCGTCCTTCGCAACGCGTAGGTCTTCATAAATTGTTAAGCTCAGTTCAGTATTATTTTAAGTTTGTTTGTTTTTTTTGCTGTTGTTGTTTTATCATAACATACACGAATACAAAATACACCTGGTGGCTACAAATGAATAGAAAGGTATAATATAAGGTATTGTTAGTTTTTCCCAGGAGGGATGGGAGAGGGATGGAGGGAGACAAAGTGAGTAATTGAGTTTGTTTAAGAAAAAGTAAAATTTCATACTTACAAAATGGATTGCTTTTATGTCATGTTGTCTACACTCTCTTTCTTCTTATGCTAAGCCTAGGTCTTCATGGAGTATGAAGAAGGTTTAGACTGGGTTAATTATCTAATATTTTATTTATTCGTTATTGTCTCAAAATGAGCAATAAATAGCAGGCTGGAATATTGTAAATCATTCATTTCATGGATCCTGTGCGCACACCCAAGGAGCGTTTTTTAATATAGGGCACTAATATTTATGCACTGACATTTAAAATGCAACACTTAGATAAACAGCCGGTTTATCTTAAATGTTCAAAATATTTTCTAAAATTGGCGTTGATTGGCAAGGGTACTTGGCTACACAACACCCCATCTTTCATGTACACCTGCTGCTGCTGTTGCACATGCTGTTTGGCATCAGTTCCGCAAATGAGACCGAATATTACGCCGGTCTTATTGGTAGGTAGTTGCGCCTGATTGGCTAATTTATATTCTCTCATCTCAACAACATCGACAGAGGTTCTTTTCCATTCAACCCGCCTTGAAGGTGTGCTAGAGTTGCAGCTGAAGTATCTAGCAGCTTCTCAGTCACATTAATGATTCCACAGAGCCGATATAGGTGCCTTGTTGTGGTCAGCGGTGTTAAATCTAGACATACTTTTTGAGCGGCGCACAGCAAAAGATTTAAATAAAATTAGGTTTTTCATTCTAACAGTGATCATCAAGTCCATTTCATTCATTTTTTTCTGATTTTATTTACCCATATGGTCTCACCATTTAAAAGGTAATATTTCCATTATTTGGAGATTATCTGGCTCGTTTAAAAATAAACGGTCACAAAAATCCCTATGAGTATATTTTAGCGATAGGCAAATCACATAAAAAAGAAATCAACATCAAAAGACTTCGCAGAGTATCATTATACCGTGATTGAAAAGTGTTGCTGTGCACCGACGGCCTTTTATTCCTCTCCGGAATGGCAAGTTTGACTCTTGTGACGTCACAGCTAAGACCTGTAGTTCTATTTATAACCTCTATGAGCGCCACGAATTTTGACCGTACTATAAGTGCCCTAAATACGGAAAAACCTTTTAAAAAAGAGGAGGTATGCCAGAAAAAGCTGCGGTTGAAATATGTTGCTACCGTAGAATGGCTAGAATAAGTTGGAAAGCAAAATAAAACAAACAAAAAACAAACAAACAAATAAGGAGCTTTGCCAAATTCTCTACACAAGACAAACCTTGATAAATAAAATAAAATCCAGGAAAATACAATACTATGGCCTTTTAAAACGAAACGAGGCCATTGTGAAAGAGTTGCTAGGTGCAAAGTTGTGGGGCAGAAGAGCCAGGGGAAAACAAAGAGTAATTCCGATGGACAGCATGAAAACATGGACAGGCCTGGACATGGTAGAATGTGCGACGGCGGTTTGCGACCGTTGAGCATGGAGGGTCATTACACCTCAGCGTCTGAGTCAGTGATGGCACCTCTAGGAATCCAAGTTTGCAACAACAAAATTTAATCAACCCTAACTTTTAATGTTTAGGGTAGATGAGCAACACTCAACTTTAGGAAAGGGAAAGGCGTTACTATCTGCGGCGAGTTGTGAATTTTGTGATCATGACAAGCTGCTCGCTGTTATTTATTTTTTTTATTAAAGGTAAACAGACTGCGGAAACAGTTTTAACATGTTACAGTCGACTACGGGTGAGTTGATGTTGTCGGGGGAGTGAAAAAAATATCAATTCATCCTAAGTGCAACTAATCGTTGGGATCTAGATTCTATGAAGAAGAAGATATGCTGGGACCCGAGAAAAAAGATCAGCTCAAGCGAGTTCAACACCAACGGAGTCAACTGTACTTCTATAAAAACAGACAGAAGTATCGAGTAATCTTTATTATAAACGAACCTGGAATTAACTGCATCTTAAATCCCGATCCCTGACCTTTAGTTCCCGGAAAGTAGGTCAAGTTCACGCCGTTAGGAAACTCCAGAGCTCTGGCGTGTTCTCCCCCACACCATATTTTTGGTTTATCTGGAGAAAAAAAATAGAACATAAGAGTCACGAGGTGGTGAAGTCAGGTGAAGTCAGGCTCTCGTCGATTTTTTGGCATGTAGAATTATTGGTATCATCTTGAAGCTTGTTTACTTGTCTTGCTTTGGATGGAAAAAGTATCCATTTATCGTGAAAAGAAGTCAAGATACTTGCAAATGAAGGAGGTGGGGGTCACCTGGTTTCAGAGGTAAAATTAGTGTGCAACTGGCCGCCAAAGGTGCGTTGTTTCCTTAGCTTGAGGGTCCGTGGAAACTGAAAATTTACATACTTTGTGACTTTAATCAACGTTTTTCAGTAAAATCAAAACAGAAATGTGTTCTGTAATGGACATGAAAGGTGTTGAGTCAAAATTCGACAATTTGATAAAAGTTCACAAACCAGCGGAAATATGCCAGTTTCTTTACTTTGATTATTTTGATGAGCGCCTGATTTCACCACGCTGCCTCACATTAGAGTCGAGCCTGCTCTAACGGCCACATGTATAAGACAATCACCTATTTGCAAACTGAATGATTCTCCCCATGTGTTTTTGTTGTTGTTGTTGTTGTTGTTGTTGTTGTTGTTGTTATTGCTGTTTTCTGTTTCGTTTTGTTTGTTTGTTGTCTTTGTTTAATGAATAGTAACACTCAAATACAATACGTTCACATGTGTAACACAATAGATGGCTGTAGTAGAAAGTTTCGACGGTTCTTTCTTTTCTTTTCGCATACAGGACAAAGAAAGACGGACGGGCGTGGCAGCATTAGTTCAAAGTAATGATGATAATAACGTGTAAGTATATCAATGAAAACTGGGGTTATGATTATGATAGTAAATAATAACAATACTACTACTACTACTACTACTACTACTACTACTACTACTACTACTACTACTACTACTACTACTACTATTATTACTACTGCTACTACTACT